TAAAAGGCCACAGATTGTTTATTCAGCCATTAATATCATTATTGTCATTATTAATATGCCTTAATGAAAACAAATGCTTTCAAACATTTCAACAAACATTTACAATAAATGTAAACAAATGCTTTCAAACTTGAACACTGTACCGATTTCTGGTTCTCTGAAACAGACATGTACTTATGCAACTATTGTTTACAAAGTATATGTCTGAACCCACATGGGTGGGCACCACTCATGTGCATTCATACACACTATTAAGAGGTTAAGGGCTTGATACACATAACTCAGGCAACTTTCAATGAGTTCTTTTTGCCTAATGACTGTTGGCCAACTCCTTAAATGTTAGGTTTGATATTGCAGTTTATCCTTGGTCTTTGTCACTGTTTGCCTCCTTGTTGGCTTCTCTGCTTGACTTTGTCACTAGGAGGGCCATGAACCGCTGAGTCCCTGATGGAATCAGAGGCATGCCAAGAGTATGTCAAGAGGAGTTGGCAGCAACCGGGAGGTAGCCCAGATGGCTGCCTCTTCTTAATCTGTGATCAAGTCGTAATCAGTTAATCAAACCAATTAACTGATTATTGCTTTGCTCTGGGCAGAAATCAGATCAACTAATGAATCATTTGAAAACTGAAAAAGGATTGATTAACCTGATAATTCATCCACACACTGAATAATTTAACCAATTTTATATGGGGAATATCTTGTGTTAAAGAAAATTCAGCTTCTTGATTTGGTGAGATGTTGAACAGCAAGACTCAAAGAAATATTCTATCCAATTAGTCCCCTTGCAAGCTGGAACTGGAAAGCAAGTATCACTGTACCAATGTCACGGTTTAGAATCTGATAGCTTCACACTAATAACTGCAGTTTATTTGTGTCTGTGTACGACATAAAATAGCTTCATGGCATGAAAATGAAGACATTAAAAGTGCATGCTCAATGGAATAGAGAAATAATTGGCCTGCCCATTGGAAAGGTTCAGTATAAAAGCTTTAAATTAGGTTTACAAAACAACAGCATTTGTCATTTTCATGCCATTGCATAGAGTGGTGCATTTAGTTGCAATCCACACCAACAGTCATTTAGGTTGGCTTGCTGATTCACATTACCCTAAATGTCAATTGATTAGACTATGTGTCAAGAATAGAATTCTGAAGCAGAAGGCATCCCAGTTGGAAATATAGACGCTGATTCACCCCAATTTTAAAGGGGAGAAAGGAGTTATTCCCTTTTGTTTAACTTCCACTGCCAAGGTCATTGGTATAACCTGGTCTAAAATCATGGGATAAGTAAGAGATATTTTAAAACAAATGATTTATTATGTATCATTATATTTCTCTGAAAATTTGTCTTGATTTTGAAGCCAAAATTAACTCGGATTTAATCCTAAAATAGATCATAAGCATGCTTACCCTCACTAATTCCCATATATATTATTAGATACTGCACTCTGGCTTCTGTCACAGTGTTCCATTGCACCAAAAGCAGTTTAATCATGCTGGCCACATGACCCGGAAAGCTGTCTGTGGACAAACGCTGGCTCCCTCAGCCTGAAAGCAAGATGAGCACCACAACCCCAGAGTCGTCTGTGACTGGACTTAACCATCTAGGGGTCATTTCCCTATTACCTGTCTTATCTAAGTAGCTTGGGTGATATCTATTGCATTTGGATGGTTAAATTTAGATGAAAATGAACATTTAGGTTTCTCATGGAACTATGGAGATGACGACCCACTTAATAGCCCCTTTCCTACATGATATAAATCGTGGAATGGAAAACAGTGACTGCAAATCCATCATCCATGCATTCATATCTATGTCTAAAAGGAGCTCATGTGCCCTCCTAGTCTTTTCCTTCTTACAATCATATGATTTATGAAAGGGGGTAATGAATTTTCATAATAAGAACTGCATATTATTAGCAAAGATACTCAATGAAGGTGAAAAGATTTAGTGCTAATAACAATGTCAAAAGGGTATTGACGTTTCTACAGCAACCAGAAATGTACACCATTATTTCAAAATCATTATGTGTAATTCCGTTAACAGCTTTTTCAGCAACTACAGTTGTAATGTGAAAACCAATGTAAAAGGTAGCACAGCCAAACATAAGGCAAGTCGACTGAGCTATTGAATGAAAACGTGTGTTTGTATCCCACCCCCCGTCCCCTGGCAGGGCCTATGTTAAATAAAAAGTACGATTGAAACTTCATTTTGAGATGATTTTTCTGTTTTGAGGAAGACTACAAATGCCTATTCAGTCTTTTCACTCCTTCAGCTGTTGCTCTGCTGCCTCCCTAAGTCAGTATTTTTGGTCAAGTCTGAGAGCATTTGCACTTGCTCTCATCAGTGGACATGGAGTCTATGAAAAGTTTTGTCTATTTTGCCTTTCTTCATTATTTGAGAACATGACTGCAACAACACTAAACGAATATCAGCTGCCTACTGTGCTGCAAAGGCTCTTCAGTGCCTTAAAGTCTCTAATTTTCTAGCCCTGGTCCCAGGAAATATGTCTATGTCGTCCTTATGACATCACTTCTGGGTGACATGCCAAGCAGATAAGCATTAGAGTGGGAAACATTGAACTTCATCCATTAAGAAGTATCAAAAGGCAACTTTATTAAACTTAATGATTTTATTTTTATTTTTTTGCAGTGAGGTAACAGCTTATAGCGTCTTGCAAAGAGATATGAGAAAGGGCAGGTTTTTCTTATCTTTTGTTATTGGAATTGACCCTCAGGATCTCTAGGCCTCAGCGAGAGCTTAAGCAAGCTTAGATCAAGGAAGGATTTTGAAATTGAATTTATTCAGATTAGCAAAACCTTCCATGACAGGATTTACTCTCAACAAGCTGTTGCCAAGTTGGAGCATACAAAGCGCAACCCATTTTGCTGGTATACAATCAACTCATTCTAAGGAGGGAGGGAAGGAGGGAGAAAAGAAAGCTGCTGGCTGGCATCAATAAAAACATATAACTGAAATGTAAATATACTGGAGGAAAATGTTTTCTATTTGATCTTCCCTTTTTCTGTGTTTTTTTTAATTAAAAAATGTATTGTATATTTCCTTCAAAGAAACACTAAACCAAAAATCAAAATCATAGCTGAACATTGTCTTCAGTTAAGAAGGATCTTAACAAGATTAACAAACATACAGAAATGAGGGATGCAGCGCCTATATACACACTTACCTAGAAGGAAACCCCAGTGAGCTTAATGAGACCTATTTCTTCTGAGAAGACGTGTAGGACTGAAGCCTTCAGAAAAGATAGACACAGATTTAAGAAATGCGCTATTGAAGAATTATTGTTGAACTAAGAAATAATCATAAATCGTTTACCAGAAAACAGTTTGCTTAGTAATGGAATAGTAGAGCTTCTTTCTGTGTTTTGTTATACTGTATTATCTTGAAGTAGGGATGCGGGTGGCGCTGTGATCTATAGCACAGAGCCTAGGGATGCCGATCAGAAGGTCGGCGGTTCAAATCCCCGTGACGGGGTGAGCTCCTGTTGTTTGGTCCCAGCTCTTGCCCACCTAGCAGTTCAAAAGCACATCAAGTGCAAGTAGTTAAATAGGTACAGCTCCAGAGGGAAGATAAACAGAGTTTCTGTGCACTGCTCTGGTTTCACCAGAAGCGGCTTAGTCATGCTGGCCACATGACCCGGAAAAACTGTCTGCAGACAAACGCCGGCTCCCTCAGCCTATAGAGCGAGATGAGTGCCACAATCCGAGTCGTCTGCGACTGGACCTAATGGCCAGGGGTACCTTTACCTTTATTATCTTAAAAATAGGGTTACCATATTTCAAAAAGTAAAAACCAGGACACCCTGAAAGCCAAAATGGGGCCTAAACCCCAACGCAAATGGATCTTGAAAATCAGTTTCCTCCAAGAGCACCTCAATCTGGTCCAACTGGGTATGCAGCAGTTGGGGTGCATTTGCAGAGTCCCGTTAGGTTTGCAGCAATTGCTTTCCGGCCTTGCCAAATAGACTGATGCAAAAAGAATTAAATTGGGTGGACCTCTTTCCCCATCCCAAAGAGCTGATCAGCATGATCATTGATTTTCTAACGCACTTCAGCATCCACAGCACAGGTAGCTGAATTGGAGAGACAAGCAGCATATAGCAGCCATTTGTGTGCCTGGTTCCTCATCCAGCAAGTGATATCTGTACTCCCATGGATCATGGGACTATAGGAAGCTGCCTTATACCATTGGTCCAAGGGGCTCAGCATCATCACTTCTGATTGACAATGGCTCTCCAGGGTTTCAGGCTGGAGTCTTTACCAGCCGCACCTAGAGACTCTACCAGAGATTGAACCTGGGTCCTTCTGGGTGCTAAGCATGTTCTCCATCACTGAGCTACAGTGCTTCCCGAAAAGCACGAATCATATCAACTGGATCAAGTCATAAAGATTTAGCTGGCTAATACTAATTAATACGTTGCATGTATTAAATTTTCAAGATAATCAGTACTGGGCTTCACAGAGGAAGCTTGGGGGCCTCTTTTCAGTCACACGTGATGTTTCAAAGCCCTTAGTGGTATAATATAAACTATCTGTGCTTGAGATTGTCCATGGAGGACTCACTCTGGTACTCCTACCCTCAGAGGTTAAGTAAGGACAGAATCTGTCATGGCACCCAGTCATGGAATTTCCCCCAGAATTGTTACTTGTGACCTAAGCACTCTTCATACACACATACTGTATGTTAGAGTGAAAAAGAACTTTATTTCAGAAGTTTGCTCTAAACATATGAAGGCCTGGACAGAGCCATGTGACCTTGGGGGCAGGACTTAATTGGTCCTGCACCTGCTTTGTATCCATATTGCTCCTTCATGTGAGTAGTATGAGGAGTGGGCTTACTTTATTATCATTTAGGCATCTAAATGGTGGAAACTGTTTTGGGCTGTTTGCATACTTACTTAAGAGTAGACATGTAAAATACTGTCTTGTTATTCTTCCAACCTTTGCAGTGCTATATTTAATTGTGATCTCTTGGGTTTTATTGCCATGGTGCTGTAATTTTGATTTTTAGCTGTTAAGTGATTTTAAATTGTTATTTTTTTATTCTATTTGCATACCCTTAGGCTTTCCTAAGGAAAAGTGGGACATTCTGGGATCAAATCAGAAACCGGGATGACATCTCTAAATCAGGGATGTCCCTGGAAAATAAGAACACATGGAGGGTGTGTATTTGTATTATTGTTCTTAATTTCTGTTTGTAACCTGCCACAAAAGCTATGTGCAGAAAATAGGAAGATATCTTACTCTGCAATCTAATGCATGCTTACTCAGAAGTAAGTACCAGTGTGTTCACTGGGGCTTATTCCCAAGAAAATGTGCACAAGTAGCTTATATAAAAATAATAACTCAGTTCCCAATGAGTTTGGTTTCTTTTGTACCTAGAAATTAGCAATAAATATTTAATTTTTAAAATTTAATGTGACTTCTGAATAGAAATGAATAGAATAGAAAATATACACTCATTTATTTTATTTAGAATCATTTATTTTTTATTGTTTTAATTTATGATTTGCCTTCTTCACATGTGTCAAGCAATTTACAAGTTATAGGTGTAGAGAAAGAATATCGCACATGTGTTTATTTTACAATTTTTATCTTGTTTTTATTTTTATATTCATGTAAAGCCCAAAGTTTATTCAGCTCAGATTGTAGATCCATTCCTGGGAAATCTAGAGACCTTTTTCTTGTTTCGTTTCATCCTTTCCTATTAATTCATGCTTTTCAAACCCTGTTTAGGACAAATTGGATTTTCTTTTGATTTGTAAAACCTGTTACTTCATATATTTAACGAAAGGCTAATTTCCATCCATAAATGAAATGTTTTAAAAAGAAAATGGTTTCCCTTAGCATTAACACAGACTTTATAAGTTATTTCTGTGTGGGATTTTTTAATACCCGTGAAATACTTGTGCCTTGAATAGCCCTTTTAAATTTAACCAGAATATCTTTTTTTATAATTGATTTTAGCATTGAGTACTATTTGGCACTATTTCAATCAGCTTCTCTTTTAAAACAAAATAACTAATTCTCCTGCTTTTAAGAGCAATTGGATTATTGCTCATTCAAAGTCTATTATACTCTCCAACCCCATTTTTGTTCATAAATGAGCTGGAAGTATATGACATATTTTGAATGAGTTAAAACTGGATGGGTTTTCAGCAGTGGTACAATATAAAATTATTAATAAATTTAGAATATTAAAGACAAACAATGTCCCATGCTAAAACGGAGAACTTCTTCAGGGGTTTGTTTTCAAATGTTTCAACATCTGTTAACTTAAAGTTCTACTAACAATACAATGCTTGGATACAAAGCTTGCACCTAAAATAAAATGCTTGCTTCATGCAAATACAATAACCTTGCTTTTAAATTTGAAAAAAAAAATAAAACAAACCTGAAAGGCGCTATTTTCACAGACTGTTTTATGTACACAAAATTGAAACCAGAGAATTAATATTAAACCGACCGTAATTATTAACCTTGGATTAAATTTTATCTTTTATAGAGAGCCAGAGCAACTGCCACCAAAATACACTCAAACAATATTTTATATGTGAGCTTACATAACTTTCTTGCTTCCCTGCTGGAGTATACGTATGCATAGATTGCAAATTATTAATTTGTATACATGCCTAGTTATGATTCCATTGGCTCTGACATTAGGCTTGTTTCTTGTAATAAAGGCCACTGTTGTATGTATACTATCTTAAATGGTCTTTTTGTGACCTTGGTCTGTACCCTCCAACAAATGAGCAGGATTTTTTCCCCCTGATGGACATTGGGAGGGGGGGAATCATCATTATCCATGCGGTGCACCAAGGCATACAAACTTCCTTGTGACCGTATTTAAAGAAACGGACACAAAGAAATAGTCATTGCAGTTACAATAGGGGAAATCTAGTATGCATTTCCAAGGAATCACATTTTGGGGAGAATTACAGAATAATTACACATATGCTTAGATCACGAGCATTCAATGAAGCGGACAATATTTTGGGGATTTAAGATGTTGGTGTTGTGGTCGTCTCTAAGAAACCAGGATAATTCAGACATTCAAATGCAAAAATGCACCATTTGGAGAGTGTAATGCGGTCTGTTCTGGTCAGTGTTACAAATTCGGAAAGGATTCCCTGGCTGCAGACATTAGCCACTTAATACTTAAATCTGTTTCCAAATGTAAAGCATAGAACAAAAGTGCTTTGCATTAATGAAATGTATCCTAACACTAGGTGTAGTGACACATTTCATTAATGTGTCACACTGGTGACATAAAATATAATTACAAAAGATATGCCTGTCGCAGAGACTGATAGAATCTTTGGATTGTACCAAAAATAGATAGAAATGTCTGAAGAACTTTAAATAAAAGCCAGGATGTGCAAACTGTTAACAGGAGTTTTGAGAGCCATGAATATGTGCATTGACTTTATTTGGGTTATAGGATCAAACCATGAAAAATAGTCCAGAGCAAAACAAATAAGGAGGGAAATAGAAGTAGGCAATAATAAAATATTTCTAAATTATTACAATGTAATTGGCACCTTGTACTTAACTCCGAGCTCTCTGAATTTTGCCTTCTAATTCCCATTCTTTCTCCCTAGCAGATGATTGGTGACTTTTGCATACAACCTGATCAGAGCTAGCTCTGCATGTGCAACCCTGACTCCTCAATCAAATGTCCAATCCCTGGGAAATGTGAGCACATAGCTGTTTGTGCGTACATTTCCTCCTGTTGGATCAGGGCCAGCAAGTTCAGCAGCCTTGAGAGTATAACAATAAGCAGCATTGAGCTATGAAAAGTGCATTTGTGGTAACTGGTATTCAGAAGTGACCAGTTTATTTTTTTCCATAAGGAGGGATATTAACAGCAATATTGATTGTGTAATAGAAGGGAGCTCACGTAATGTTAAAAATGGTTGGCTAATTTCAGCATGTAAGTAGGGCTTTTAGAAGGATCACAGCATTTCTAAATCATTATTTTTTAACACATTGAATTATATACATAGAAGGAAGTTAACTGGCTTCCTTGGAGTTCTGAAACAGATAAAATTTAGTAGTTAGGTAAAAATATCAGTGCTGATAAGCAGTTCAATCCAACTTATTGAAGAGTTATTAATTCTCTCTGATCACCAAGAATGTTAATACCAATGTTAACACCATTACCATATTTAATTAATTACTTTTAGGTGGATTCACGTTACAAGCAAGGAGATTCCGACTAAACAGGAAGAATTTTCTGACGGTAAGATCTGTTTGACAGTGGAATAGACTCTCTTGGAAGCTGATGGACTCTCCTTCCTTGGAGGTCTTTAAGGAGAGGTTGGATGGTCATCTGTCATAGATGCCTTAGTTGAGATTCCTGCATCACAGGGTGTTCGACTAGGGACTAGATGATCTTCAGGGTCTCTTCCAACTCTACAATTCTATGATTGTATGTGCTGTTGGAGGGAGAGACTGAGAGGGAGCTTAGTTTGGGCTTTGTAAGCATCTTAGGGTGCTGACTTTCCCTAGAGATCTGATATGTTTGAGCAGTGATTCTGGTCATCTATGAAGTGTTCAAGCTGCGTGTTTCCACTTTTGCTCAACCTGTATATCTATAAAGAAATATCAATATCGCGGAATGGCAATAAGCCTCCAACAACTTCCTTCCAAACAGAACCAAACCCAAGTTACTGCTGCAATCCTGGAACTTCTCACCTCAGTGGGATGAGCATGACAATATCATTACAGTGGTACCTCGGGTTAAGAACTTAATTCATTCTGGAGGTCTGTTCTTAACCTGAAACGGTTCTTAACCTGAGGTACCACTTTAGCTCATGGGGCCTCCTGCTGTTGCCGCACCGCCGCCACTCGATTTCTGTTCTCATCCTGAAGCAAAGTTCTTAACCCGAGGTACTAGTTCTGGGTTAGCAGAGTCTGTAACCTGAAGCGTATGTAACCCAAGGTACCACTGTACCTTGCAAACTGTACAGGTTTGCAAAGTACGGTAAGAGTAAATAAATGGGCCTAATTCATAAACAACTAAATGCCAACCATAATTCATAAGAAAGAAGAAGCAAGTGTGAATATATAAAAGCAAACGTATAGCAAGTTTTGTTCAGGTGTAATATTTAGTTACAGCAGGTTGCAACCTTAATTTTTAAGCCTTCTCATTCCTGCTGCTTTTCAGTTTGTCAAGAGGACTGAAGCTTAAACATTTAATTATTTTGATCGCACTCTCCACACATTAGTCTTAAATGTTCATACTTTATTTTACTTGGAGTTGATAACTGTTTCTTCCATTGCACTAGTTGATCATGAGTGTGTGCATTTGTGCATCTTTTTGTATTTTGTTCCAGTTCAGATTCAGGTTCTGTTCCATTATTTATTTTGTCTCAGGCTCAAGTTCAGTTTGAATCCCTGCTCAAAGGAACTAATACACACGTGGAAATTTTCTTTTGTGTCCTCTTGCCCCTGTGTATTGAATGTGAAGCTGAATGCCAGTTAGTTCAGGAGTTATAACAGGAAATTGATCATCCCAGCGTACATATGAAATGTGCAGTCATAAGTTTAGGGTATTCTTTAGGGAACTGGATAAATTCATGGAATATGGCTCTGTCAACAACTATTAGCTAAATGCAAGCCTCCAAATACTAAATTCTAAGGAGCAACAGCAGGAAAAACCCCTTTTTGTGACCATACTGAGGCCTTCGTTGGCTACTATTAAAAACAGGTTAAATTCTACAGGTTTCAGTGGTGCTTACTCCCAGGTAAGTGGAAATAAGATTGCAGCCTTAGTCTGATTTAGCCATACAAGACTTGTAACCTCCTTGCCTCTGTCACCAGATGGCAATACCAAGATCTTGTTGACTTGATCGTATATCCTGATAACCTCTTACCAAACAAGCAGATAACAAAAAGGGATGCTCTCGGCACCATCATTTGCTCTTTCCTTGCCTTTGTTTTCACCTCAAGAATAATTAACAATGTCCTTTCCTCAGGTAGGCGCCTTTAAATGTCACGGAGAGCACATCAACCAAGACATCAAGCAGGGGAGGAGTGTGATTCTCTTTTTGTCTAAAGAAGTAAGACCATTGATTCAGAATGATTAACCTTTGAATCACACATATTCTTGCTCCAGGAATATAATAAACAGATCTTAAAAGAGTCTGGTGGGAGCAGATGCATGTAAATGCAGCAAGCATAATCAGTGCTCACTTCTTTGCCCTGCAGATGGCTCCAAATACAAAGGGAGCCAGACACAGGAAGCTGCCTAATACTGAGTCAGCCCATTGGTCCATCCAGCTCAGTATTGTCTGCACTGACTGGCAGTGACTCTCCAGGATTTCAGGCCGGAAATCATTCCCAGCCCTTTGCTGGGGATTGAACCTGTGACCATCTGCATGCTAGGCAGCTGCCCAACCATTGAGCCACAGCTCTTCATATCTATTGGCCATGATCTCATGGACTCATATGTCAGCGGAATAGTTTAGATGTGCAGAACACATATATCCATATACAGGGGTACCTCGGGTTATGAACTTAATTTGTTCCGGAGGTCCGTTCTTAACCTGAGGTGCGCTTTTGCTAATAGGGCCTCCCGCCGCTGCGTCATTTCCGTTCTCATCCTGGGGCAAAGTTCTCAACCTGAGGGCCTATTTCCAGGTTAGCGGAGTCTGTAACCCGCTTTTTCTATATGCAGTAACAGCAGCAAGAATATTATTAGCCCAAAAATGGAAGCAAGTAGAATTACCAACGAAGGAAGAATGGAGGATGAAATTAATGGACTATGCGGAACTCAACAAACTAACAGGAAGGATTCGAAACCGGTGGGACCAGAAATTCACCGACGACTGGAGTAAATTTATGGATTATTTGAAAAGTATTTGTGACGACCAGACGACGTTTGTAGGTTTACAAGAAGTTCTGTGAGGAATAAGATAAGAAATATTGTAAAAATGTAGAATAAGAGATGATATGTTAAAAGACGTAAAGGCAATATTAAATTAGGAAATGCATAATAAGTGATTTAGACGAAGGATTATCAGAGGTGCTGATGGAAGTCCAATAAATTTGTGATAAACTGTGTGGTATGTTTTATAATTTTATATGATAAAAACCAATAAAAATATTTATATAAAAAGCGGAGTCTGTAACCCAAAGTGTTTGTAACCCAAAGCATTTGTTACCCGAGGTACCACTGTACCTGCTTTCATTTAAAAATATATTTTAATGTGATTAATTTATGTGTTTTCAAGCTAAATCATATACACATACCAGAGTAAGTATGCCATCCTATACCATTTTTTTCTGAAAGAAAGCCCTATAGCACTAACTTGGATTTGTTTCTGAGGAGATATACATAGGATTCACTATATGTCTAACTGTACTCATTTACTTCTGAGTGGATATTTATATACTTGCACTGTAAAGTCTGAAGACAAACAGTCAGGTTGTGTATCCACATTAGTGACCAGAGGAGAAATGAGTGCTGGGAGGAGTGCAGAGAGAAGATACACCATGGTGCATCTGTATCAGCACAACTGGACACCTTCAGCTGCCCCTGCTGCAATAAAGCATGCCTCTCCCATATTTATATGCCTTTTGTCTTTGTCCATGGAGTTTTCTTGGCAGGGATACTGGAGTGGCTTGCCGGTTCCTCCTCCAGGTGGATCACGTTTGGTCAAAACTCTCCACTATGACCTGTTCATCTTGGGTGCCCTGCTCGGCATAGTTCATAGCTTCTCTGAGTTCTTCAAGCCCCTTCACCATGGCAAGGCAGTGATCCATGAAGGGGACAGCAGCCACGAAATTAAGAGATGCCTGCTTCTTGGGAGGAAAACAATGACAAACCTAGACAGCATCTTAAAAAGTAGAGACATCACCTTGCCAACAAAGGTCCGTATAGTAAAAGCTATGGCTTTCCCAGTAGTGATGTATGGAAGTGAGAGCTGGACCATAAAGAAGGCTGATCGCCGAAGAATTGATGCTTTTGAATTATGGTGCTGGAGGAGACTCTTGAGAGTCCCATGGACTGCAAGAAGATCAAACCTATCCATTCTTAAGGAAATCAGCCCTGAGTTCTCACTGGAAGGACAGATTGTGAAGCTGAGGCTCCAATACTTTGGTCACCTCATGAGAAGAGAAGACTCCCTGGAAAAGATCCTGATGTTGGGAAAGATGGAGGTCACAAGGAGAAGGGGACGACAGAGGACCAGATGGTTGGACAGTGTTCTCGAAGTTACCAGCATGAGTCTGACCAAACTGCGGGAGGCAGTGGAAGACAGAAGTGCCTGGCGTGCTCTGGTCCATGGGGTCACGAAGAGTCGGACACGACTAAACAACAACAACTCCCGTATTGGTCACAGCACAGCCACAGCAGGCGCTGAGACTCTCCAACAGTTTGACTTTCAATGTCACTTGAGACAGACGAATGCCAACAAAGTACCTTCAATCTCAGGAGGCTAGAGCAGGTCTCCTGCTAGGAAAGGCAATGATATTTGGGGCTATTTAGTTTAGAAAAGAAAGGCAAGTAAGAGGGGCACGATAGACATGCATGATGTGGAGAAAGTGTTTCTCATAGTACCAGGTCAACCAATGAAGCTGAAGGTAAGGATATTCAGGTTAGACAAAGGGAATCCATCTCGTGAACTACTGAACTCACTTTCACAAAATATGGTGATGGCCACTAATGCTGTCAAATTCATGGAGGATGTGGCTATCTTCTCTTTCTTCTTCTTTGGCGATCACTTGAAGCCAAGTAAAATTGTCTTCCAAGAACACGGTCTTAATAATGAGTCAGTAAGTGACTGTGAAGGCCAATTCTGGAGTCACACGTCCTTCTGGAGTCCTTCCACAGTGGGGACATAGGTTTCCAGGCGGAAGTTGATCATGGTGAGGGTTTGCCAAGCATGCCTTCTTAGCATGTTTCTCCCTTTTGTCCTGAGTTCAAGCATCTTCAAAGCCCATGACACCTTTGGTAAAGACTGTTCTCCAATTGGAGTGCTCGCAGGCCTGTGTTTCCCAATTGTCAGTGTTTATATTAATTTTTTAAAGATTTGCCTTGAGAGAGTCAATGTGGCTATCAATGGCTACTACTCATGATGGCTATATACTACCTTCAGGACTCTACACTGAAGATAGCCAGGAATTCCTTTGCACTGGAGATTTTGGGCATCCAAAGCAGAGGTCTAATTTCTTAGTGATGAACTATACAACACTTCCTAAGTATGTAATTTTTATGCATGACAGCATAGTTTATGGAAACAATTCACATTCTGCATTAAAGCATACTGACACCAAGGAATGTGTATGATCAAGTCTTTAACCGATGGCAAATTAAATCAAGGGGATATCAAAACAGTTTAAACCAGCAAGAATGGTTTCTTTTCAAATGCCAAAGCTTCATCATACAGTGGTTGCAATTATTTACTGTAGGTGTAAAGCATAAATAGAATATGATTTTTTTTAATGGCACAAAAATTCTATGAGTGTTCTACAGGCTGTCAAATCTCCATAAGAAAAAGGCTAAGAAAAAGAAAAAGGCTGAGGATTTGCATCTGGTACCCTTGCTTATTAAGAAGGGGAATATGAAATCTGCTCCATACTTTGGGGTAGACTTTTGTGCTCCTTATTCTTCTAGTGAAAAATTAAGTCACTGAATTTTTTGTTTTGGTTTTGGTTTTTCCCCCTGCTAGTCTAGATATGGTAATGTCAAGCATTCACACCCAAAAGCAGGGAAAAAAATCTATGAAACTTTTGTCTTCTCAGGGAAATAAAGCAGCAATCAGAAAGAACTCTCCATTTGTGCCAGTATCCTGGTGGCAACTCTTTAAACAGGTTTATGAATGTGCTGAACAAAGGTCAAACTGAAAGACAGACAAATAATTAAGTTGCTGAAGGCTGCATTTGGGTAGTTCCGAGTGTAGTATTTCTTTGATTGATAGCTCTGAACTATACCTGGGGGTTTCAGCAGTATCACTTTATTCTAAAACAAATTCACAGCTATTATTTATTACAGGTGATTCAGTCATTTTTCCTGAGGGCAGAGTCTCTGCTGTAAAGGTACCAGTTTCCCTTCCTTCAAGCTGCAATATTTTATTGCTTGAAAAATGACCGCCTCCTATTTTATTAGGGCAATCTGTGCTAAAACAGTTGTTGAGTGGTATGTGAGTGCGTGAAACTGTCATGGACCTATCTGTGGTGTGAGTGAAATTGTAGGAACAGTATCCATTCTGCTGTAGGCTGACTCTGCCAATCACATTGAGCTGTACCAGACTAAACATTTGATGTAGTTCAGTCTATTTCAAGTGCATCAAGTAAGCCACTACAATCCTAAAAGAAAACATTACATAGGAATGCATTATAGATCATGTGTCCCCACCACCACCCTTGTCTTTTTCTCTAAATGAAATAGCCCCATATGTTGTAATCTTTTATCATTGGGTAGTTGTTCCAGCCCATTGATAAAAACTATTCCAACTCCACAATATTCTTTTAGAGATGTCCTTTGGAACCAAGATCATACCCTTAGCATATGCCTGTCATCAAATGAAAAGCTAATGGACATAGAAATAGAAAAGCAGATAGCTGAAGTGATGGAGGTATGGTATCTTGGGGACACCAGGGTCTAGCAAATTTGTCATTTATGGTTATACCCTTCTCCCAATGGTTATCTTACTTAGAATCATAGAGTTGGAAGGGACCCAAGAGTCATCTAGTCCAACCCCCTGCAATGCAGGAATCTCAGCTAAAGCATCCATGACAGATGGCCATCCAACCTCTGCTTAAAAACCTCCAAGGAAGGAGAGTCCACCACTTCCCAAGGGAGACTGTTCCACTGTTGATCAGCTCTTACTGTCAGAAAGTTCTTCCATATGTTTATGGAATCTTCTTGCTTGTAACTTGAAGCCATTGGTTCAAGTCCTACCCTCCTGCTCTCCCTTAGTTGCTGGCTACCTCCCCTGGTTGTGGGAAAGAGTGGGAACAACTTTTTAGTTTGGCTATGGCAGTAACTTGAATCACACCACCATTATCAGTAATATATAAAACAGTGAAAAATGTAAATTGGTGGCATGTCCATGGTACAGGTTAGTTATTTTATTTTTATTTTTATTGTCCTTGTTGAAAGATTAGTGTAGTAATTTGTGGCCAAATTAGTGCACCATATAAGAACAAAAGGGGGAAGAGGGAAATGGAGCATTTTGCAGTGGAATCCTTTCTAGTGCTATTTTTCTCGAAAAAGAAGTGCCAGGGCTTAACATGAACTTTTCCCTTGTTTTTTTGAATGACAATGGTGCCCACCTGAGAGGTGCCAGAGCTGAGCTCCAATGAGCTTCAGCTGTGTGTGGGGGGGGGATACTTTCTATGAATATTGTATACTCCTATGGCTGTTACTTGCATTGGGAGGAAAGTTCATATTGGCATCAATGAGTCTTTTCCCTTCTATGCAAATAGCATCGGGGGGGTGAACAATACTGGGACCATGCTGAAGGCAAGGGTTACATTTCCTTCCCTCCCCCAGCCCATGGTTCTGATGTGGATCCCCCCCCCCTTCCACTCAACAGTCTGAAATTCAGAACAGAGAGCAGAATCTAAACAATTAGATGATGTCTGGGGCATCCCCTTGGCTGTGGCCTGACTCTTAGGAATACTTAACATAATAGATAATCAAGCCCTGCTTCAGCTGCACTTCTACAATGAGACAATCTGTAACAGCAACAGCTCAGACAAATTGTGACCGGAAGATTAATGCTACTTGATATAATATATGGCAGCGCTGAGCAGAACTGGAGGAATACATTTATTTAAAATTGTTATCATCTTGCCAATGATTATTAAGACGATGTGCAGTTTGCCAAAATATGTATCAAGCCACCTCTCTCCTTGATTGCAGCTAATCTCATCCTGTTCATTTTTATTGTTTGGTCTAGATATACATCATACAATGCCCATGGGTCATTCATATTTGGAAGCTGATCAGCTGCGACTGATTGTAAAAGAAAATAAAAATAAATGCAAGCTGGGGTCATCATAAATACTTATGTTCTGCATTTGTAAGAAATCAATCATTTAGCATGGCAACACCTACA